GAGTCTCTGGTCTCAGTCTGCTCCCTGGCCAGCCTACCCATAGGGGAGTGGGCCTGAAAGTCATGGGGGCCTGGGGCTGGGATTACGGCAGGACAGGGAGGCTGTGTCCCTGCTCCAATAGATGGGTTTTGTTTTGGGTGTTATCCTTCATTTGACATGCCATCCAACTGACATGCCAGCTGAGAGCCAAATCCACAGCCCAGCACTGCTAGGGCTCCCACTGCAGGAAGGGCTGCTGTAACAGCATCTCTGAAGTTCAGTCCATTCCATTCTCCAGGTGTTGGGTGTGGAACAAAGGCACTGACTGCTTGTCCTGATGCTCCTGACTATCATCTCTCAGAATCATCCCATATGATGAGGGCCATGGTGTGGTTTAGTGGTATCCCTCAGCAGGGGAGAGAGAGAAAATTGTTCCTTCAAATACTCCCTTCTTCTGAATGTTACAGCCACAGGACTCTCCCTAGAGCTGTGGACTTGATCTGAAGGAGTGCAGGAGTTAACCCTGTCACTGCTTCTCTTGGGCTGCTGTCATAGTGTTGTCACAGGGCTCTGTAGTAGTCAGCCATCAGGTCTCTAACAGAAGTGCCATGAGACAGACATCTCTGTCTTTGGAAAAACTGGGACAGGAGCTCCTATCTTCACATGTACAAAGTCCCCCACCTGAAAGGCAGCGTGGTGGGACATGCTGAACTCTGGACAGGACCCTCATTTGTTGCTAATTCAAATATTTTTTTTCTCTTTATAGTGCCCTTCTGCTGAGCCAGGCACCTTTAAGCCATGGTGTGTGCGTGTGTAGGAGGAAAGTTTGAGGAGCAAACTCTGCTGGAACTGATCTTACACCAGAGGAACCACAAGGCAGTAGGACCATAATGGAGAAAAAAAACAGCCTGTGTTCATGTGGCTCACCCACTGATTCACAGAGCTTTCACATTTAATTGTCCAATCACTGTTTTCTCTATGAGAGACAATTGCTGCCAGATTATAACTGTGATGTAAATTCAAATGAAGAGTAAATTGAAGGTGATGCTATCCAAGTGTAATTGAAAAATCTTACAGATTTAATATAAAATTGCTGCAAGGATGCTTCTTACCAGCTAATGTGAAATAGCAAGGTGGTTGTTTCTTCTTTTTCCTGCTATGGGGAAAAGATATATCACCTTGTGATGCTGCGCCAAGAAGGACTCGAGTGTGTTAATCCCAGACATAGAGTCCTCTAGCTGAGATGGAGGAAAGTGTAAGGTGCTGAGGACCCTGCTGTGTCCCCTTTGCACACAAAGCCAGCTATATTCTAGGGGGAAATGAGCAGGACTTTTGGTGTTGGCTAATGAAGATGGTCTTACCTGTGTAACAAAAGTGTTTCAGAGGCAAGGGCTAAAATGTGACCAATAACTGATTTACCTGAAAGTTCAGTGACTGTTGCTTTGTCTGCACCTGGGCTTTAATGAGACTTTAGTTCAAGTGCTACCTTGTCTTCTCTGATTAAAGATAAAAACTAAATATACCAAGAGTACTTCAAGCAAGATGCTACTTTGTTTGACACAGACTTTTCCCATCCCACACCCCCACATCTCTCCCCATCCTTTAAATAGGAAAGGACATCAGAGACCTTGGAGTAACAGAAATTTGCTCATCAATGTTCCCGAGGTAATTTATACCAGCCTAAGCAAGGGGTACGAGAAGGTTGGGCACAGCTGGGGATTAGCTGGCTCTGGGTGCCCTCTAGGGTCAATCCCTTTCTGTCATGCCCTTGTCTTCTTTTCAAGAGAATTCTTAGTTTTGCTGAATGTGATACATTTTGCTACAGGGAGCGCTTGTCGGAAAAATGTGCTGACTATGTGATGACCTGGTATCATCTGGATTGAATATGTTTTTCATATTGGATTTAATGCAGGGCATCCCTCCTGACAGATTTTGTCACTGTCAGATTCAACACTGGTGCACCATGTTATCTCTAGATGGTTTCAGCTACATACTGTGCCTGCTTATCATCTGCAAAGTTTTATCTGTTTTTCTGGCCTACTGCTTTACAAAAATGTCCCTTTTCTCTTTTTGCACTCCCAGGGCCATCAAAAAAGTATGGTGCAAGAGAATGTAACTCTTAATATAAAATTTTGCTCACGTACAAACCTCTTAAAATTTGCCTTCATCTTAGGACTGGACAATGTATGCTCAGTGTGAAATATTTTTTTAAGCACTCCAGGGTATATTGCCTGGAAAAGTGTAGATTTATTTCTCACCTCGAAATATTATGGATCTACCATCTAGAAGAAGGGAATTTGTATATGTGAGTTGCTGGAAGTATTTTGTGCCTGTTGGGCTTGCTGTGTAATTGTTATTAATTGAAATATAATAACTGGTACTTCTTAAACTCTGAGGTACTGAGCAAGAACACATTTTTGTTTTCTCCTGAAAGTTGGCAATATGTAAAAATCCTCTTAGAGAAGAAAACATGATAATTCATGTGCAAGAACATGAATTATGCAGCTATTGGAGCCTGTGTGTCCACATTCTTGGGTGTCCAGGGAGAGATGCAAAACACTAAGTCTGTAAGGTAGATTGGTATCAGCTGTTTCTGTGAATTCCACCTTGTGGGATTGCTGGACATGCTCGTTCAGACCAGGATGAGAAGAAATGCAAAGGTAATGTGTGTTAAAGCAGAGCATGGACACACAAGCAGGGTGGGATACCCAGGAGCTCCCAGTGTCATCCCAGGGGAAAGTTGCCAATGTTCATGATAGACCTGCTGCTAACTGATGGTCCTGGGAGATGTTGGGATGTCACCAGCAGGATGAATAAGTGCTCTTTCTCTCCCAGGTTTTGGAGTTTTCATCATTTCAGGATGGGTTTGTGAGTGTCTCACACAATCACAGTGACTACCTGGTCAGATTAAATTTTTTAAAATTAGATGTATCAAGTCTGTTTTGCTATTTGCTTTGTGAGTCAATTGGAAGTGCATTTGCCAAGTTCTTTGTGCATGCAATGGTCAGAGCAAACCTGTGGAGCCACTTTTGCTGCAGTATCAGTGAGCCACTCTTTCCCAGGCAGCAGCCCTGGCCCTCATGCCCAGCCCAGCCTGAGGCCCTCCCAATACCCTTACACAGCTGATGCAGAAAGCAAACACTTTCCTTTTGGCGTGCCCTGGAATTGAATGTAAATTAAATCAAACACCTGGGGACAGCAGTGCTATAAAATCAGGGTTGCTAAATAATGACAGCAACTGAATGTGAGGGTGTAGGGAAAAGGGAAGCTTGGAGGCTAATAGGAATTTAAAGAAAGATCACTGTGCTACCTGTCTGTGCTGTGGGACTCTAAGAACATGAAGCTGAGGTTTTCATGTCACCTCTCAATGTTTGAACATTTCATACGTTGCTTTCCTGTGGAACTAAGTGCCCAGCACCTTAGGAAAGGACTGAGGGACCCACTGGGGAGGGCTGGCAGGAGGAGACGATCCCTGGCCTGAGGTGTGCTCTCCACTACAAAGCTGTGGGGGAGGGAACAGCTCTCCTGCCCGGAGTGCACAACACTGTGCCCTGCCAGGTGCTGTGTCCCATTTCTTCACACTACATCTCACTGTGTGGGGTCTCAGCTCGCTGTCACTGGAGGGAAAGCTACTCATGAAGAGAAAAATGTTCCTTTTCTAGTACTTTCCAGTGAAATAGAGCATGGATGCAAGATTCTTAATTTGATGGCATATAATGGGAAATTTGCTGCTTTTCTCCTTCCAGAAGTCTCTCCTCAGAAGAGGAACTATGCCATCTTGCTAGACTGTAAAGTACTGCGCACAGTAATGGCATTTAAATAGTAATTACTGCAGCTGGAGAGTGTGTGGGAGTATGAAAGGAGCCTAGCTGATCTGATGTTTTAATGCTATTAATTGCATGGCCTTCTGTGAGAGAGGGAGGCCAAGATTTTAGTAATTGCTTTAGGTCAGGTCTAATCAACAATTTTCACTAACATTCTTTAATGAAAGCTGTCAAAACGGTACCATGAATGTAAGTGGAATTCTCTGTGAATGTCACAACATTGCAAAATAAAGCTGCTAAATACTCTGGAAACAAGTATGCTATGGTCAGAGTCTGGCAGGATTTGAAATCTAGACAACTCATCCTTGGTGTTTGTTTGACAAAGATGGACCCTTCCCATGGGCTGTGAGTCAGATCAGCTCAGTGACCAAGGCAGGGAGAGGGCGAGTGATTGCTCTGGGCTGCCCAGCTGGATGAAGCTGTGAGCCAGCTGGAGAGATCGGGCCTCTGTCTGGCCATGCTGGCAGCCAAGTCCAAAAGAAAGCGGAGTCAGTCCTCATGCTTCTCTGCCAGCAGGAGCCTGTAGTAGCCACATCCTGTTTTCCATAGCAGCACAGTGATGCATTCTGACACTTCTAGCCACCAGTTGCGGACACAAGGTGGGAGGCAGTCTGTCTGGTGCTGTGGCTGGTACCTGGTTCACACTGACACTTCCTTGTCTCAGGGCTGGTGCACCAAGCTGAATGCTGGCCTTGGCCCACTGGAGTCAGCCCTGGAAGGAGGGGAGCCAAACCCAAAACCTGTGAATGGAGCAAGCATTGGGTCCCAACCCCAAGGCCGACTTCAGCCCACACACATAGGAGATGAGGCTGTAAAACAGGAACAGTTCACACAGAACAGAAAAGACCAAATGATGGGTTGGGCTTGACCCTCCCTGAGCATGAAAAGTTTGAGAACCCTGCCAGTGGCTCCCCAGCAGGGTGTGCCACCCTGTGTCACATCTCAGCCTCCAGGTGACATGCTCCTCTGGGAGCACTTCTTGTATCTGAGTGGGAAGATTTGTCAGGAAGAAGCCATTGCCAAGCCTCTTGGCCCAACATGGAACCCAGAAAAGGAAATGTCAGCGTGGGCATGTGTGATGCTACAGAGGTTTGCAGCAGGTCCAACCCACCCTACCCCAAACTGCTGGGCTTATCCCATCACAGTTCAGCTTGTGCAGTTTTCCAAGTCCAGTGCCACAAGCTTTCCTAGTGCCTGCTCTTGTGTTTAAGCACGATTCAACCACATTGATGCCCTGTCCCTGGAAGTGGTGTGTCTCAGCTCTCTGATGGGTCTTTTGGACTGTGTCATGGAAAACCTCACTGCAAGCAGCTGGGAAACAAAGGCCTGTCAGTATCTTGAAGCACTTGCCTATGGATTAATGCTCCCTGAAACACTTCCTCTGTACGGGTTATTTCTGCCAGGTCTCCACGGTGCTGGGATGGTCTGACAGGAAACTGTTAGAAAATGGGAAAGCAGCAAGGTCCCAGCGGTAGAAATGAGACAGCTGCTTCTTCTGCTGGGCAGACAGCTCACTGAACATCTGCTCTGACAACCACCTGTAGGTCCACTGCACCTGGCTGTCGGTGAGCTCAGGGAGGAGGCTGCCCACAGGCAGCCCAGCCCGGCGCAGCAGGTGGCCCAGCTCCTGCCTGAGGAAGCCAAACATCACCACGTAGTCATACTGGATGAGGCAGGGCCGGCACAGGCTGACCAGTGGTTTCCAAGCCACGCTGCTGTTGTGCATCCCACTGTCTAGCACTTCCTGGATGAAGCTGCTGAAGGACGGGCTGATGCCCATGCCTTGCAGGAATGTGGCAATCAGCCTGTGGAAGGGGTCCCTGACAAACAGCACCTTGATGTAAGACCCCAGCATGGCCTTTATCTCCGTCTGGTTGAACTCGCTCAGCCGTGTCTCCTTAGTGTGCAGCCGGTGGTAGGGGAGCAGCACTGGCAGTGTCACATTTTCCTCCTCTAGCTTCTCCAAAAGCTGATGCCATTCCTCCACCCCTGCTGATGGCACTTGGCAGTAGAGGAGGTCCAGCTTGGTGTTCACCCTCAGACTCGGGAGCAGGGAGGCTCTCATTTCCCGGTTGCTTGGCAGTGTGCTGACTTTGCCTGCTTGGCTGCAAAAAGCTCTCAATCTCCTCTTCCTGAGCTGCTGGACGTGAAGAAAGGTGTCCAGTGTCAAAGTGAAGCCATCCTCTGCCTTGGGGGCCAGGTCACCTGGGAAACAGCATTTGGAGATGGGGGTAAGGAAAGAACACAGTGCCCCGAGTCAGACCCCAGGCACACAGTGCTGCTGCAGGCTCATCTGCAGTTATTCACTGTGGAAGGGATTCAGCGTGGACAAAATGGATGGGAGAGAGGAGGCCAGCCCTATCTGGCAAAGAGCTTGGCTTTGCTGGGAAATGGGTTTCTGTCCCCATGAACATGTGAGACTATGGACACCCAGACACCCCTTTCCCCAAATCACCATGCCTGAGAACTGATCTAAACGAGATTTATTCCACAGGCCCAGTTCTCTGCTAAATCATAATTTTTGCTTTTAACTCCTTGCTTGCAGCTGAACATCACAGAGGTGAGTTTACCAAAGAATCAAAAATATTTTGAGAGACCAGACAGTAGTAATTTGGTTTGTAGCTACAAATACATGATGTCCTGCAAACCCTTTTGCATCTGTTAATAGGTTAACATCAGCTACCAAGTATATGTGAGTAAGGGATTATTCTTAATGGCTCAGGTGATTTAGGGACCCAAATGACATCATTTCTTGCATCACTCCCATACGTAAATTTTTTCTCTTGCAGATAAAAAGGCAAAAGCAAATAAAAAGCAAAGATAAGTGAGATGACAACAAAGCAAATATAAAAGGCAAAAGCAAATACAAAGACTCTATGAGAGTGAGTTTAATTTCTCAAATTTCAGCTTTGCTTTTTTTTGTCTTCTTAGTTTTGATGTGAAAAGGCCAGAGTGGGTTTGAATGTAGAAGATTAATGCCTGCCTTGTTGGTTTATTTTCTTTAGCAGCAGCACATCTGCCTCATCTGGTCAGTGCAGGCATCTGGCAGCCCTGGGGAGACTGACGGTTTGTTCTGTGTCCTCAGGAAGTTAAATATTTGGGGAGGCTCTTGTACAGAGCAGCACAGTGAAAAGCAGAGAAGCACAGTTAAAATTAGGCAAAGGACATCAGGAACACAGGAAGAAACACAGTGGTGCCTGAAGCTATCCCGAGCTGCTCTTAGACTCACTCAGTCCCAGAATGACAATGTCTGTAACATATAGTGACGACTTTGCCCTGGAGCGATGAGAACTGGAAGGAAGGATGCATTTTTTAGGCAAGAAAAGCAATAATCACCAATGCCCCTGCTCCCTCTTGCGTTCCCGACAGCATTTCACAACAAAACAACAAAAGTTTCCCTAACAAAAGTTTTGGTAGCTCCCTCCAGCAGCTTGACACCCGTTTTCCCCACCACACCTGAAATCAATGACCCCACTAAGAACACAAAGCTGCTGGCCCCCACAGCAAGGGCTTTCTCCACAAGCACCAAGGGCGTTGTCCGTGCCGTCGGCACTTGCCCAGCCGGGCGCTCTGTCAGAAGCCGCAGGGCAGCTCCCGGCCCGCGGCCGCCCTGCCGCAGCGCCGCGGGCCCGGGCCTTACCTGCGCGGCCGCGGGCCGGGCTCGGCAGCAGCAGCCGCCAGCTGAGGAGGGCGGCGGCGGCCAGGGCGGCCGACAGGCCGAGGCGGGGAAGGAAGCGCATTTCTGGGGTGTGCTGGGTGCCGGGCGCTGCTGAGGGACGGGAGCTGGGGAGCTCCTGTTTGTTCAAACACACCCAGCCGGAGCTGGGTTAAAGTACTGTTTGGGCAGCAGGGAAGCGGCCTGAGGCACAGCAGGTGCCGCCCGCCCGCCTCCACCGCGTGGGATTTGGGGGCAGAATCTGCCTTTTTATTCGGTCTGTGCCATGCCAGCTGACAGCGCTGTGAGGGACAGGCCCTGCATCCCCGCTTCCCTGCAGGCAAAGATGTCCCGGGCCCCTGACGCTCCCTACTCTGCCGCTTTCGACCCCGAGGGAGGGAGGAATACTCGGGAGCCGTGGAGCAGCCGGGACTAGGACTGGGAATGGCGCTGAGGAGGCAAGGGCTGGGCCACGGCTCCTGCCTCGGTGGTGCTGGGGCGTCTTTTTAGCTACCAGCGGTGGCAGGGGAGGTGGCAGGCCACAGCCAGCGTCGTGGCAGGTCTGAAAGTGCTGAACTGCTGTTTGTGTCCTTCTGCTGTTTACACCGAGCAATGCAGTGGCCTCATGACACAAAAAAAAGGGTGAGCTGCCATGCAGGCAGACAGACGCGCTGCTGCTTCCTTTCTCCAAGCAACCCCGTGGGATGGAAAGCCCCCGTCAGGCGTCCTTGAGGGCTGTGCCACGGGCGGATTTACTCGCCTCCGGACCAGCGTGGCTTCCCAGCAGAGGGTGCTCTGAGCCCGAGGAAGCCCAGCCCAGCCCGGCCCGGCCCCGCCCGGCCCCGCCCGGCCCGGCCCGGCCCAGCCCAGCCCGGCCCGGCCCCGCCCGGCCCGGCCCCGCCCGGCCCGGCCCGGCCCGGCCCCGCCCGGCCCGGCTCCGCCCGGCCCGGCCCCGCCCGGCCCCGCCCGCCGCTGGGGGAGGCGCGGGGCGCGGGCTGTGCCCGCCCTGCCCCACTGCGGCTGAGCGGATCGACTTCGCAGGTTTGTGCCTTTTAAAAGCCTTTCTACAGCGAGGAAATGTTTCCTCTAGGTCTTGTGGGCAGACACTGCTGCAGGTGTCCCTGCAACCTGTCCCCCAAATCTGGGAGAATCCCGGTACAGCCAGAGCTGGGAATGTTCGGTGATGGTGTGAATGGCCATAATTTGCTCATACGATTAAGCAGGGACTGTCCCAGCCACAACCCCAGCGAGCCGAAACGCAGCTGTAACGGGCAGGGAGAAATGCAGCTGATTTTTATTTTACAATCATGAAGTGAAAGCAAAGGGACATTCTCTAAGGGGCAGAAGGAAATAGTGGAAAACCCCCTTTGCTTTGCATTGCAAGGAAACTGAACTTCACAAGTTACATCAGGGTTTAATTTCTCCTTGTAACTTGTATCTGCCATTTAAATGGCTATTTAATTATTTTTTTGTTGTTGTTGTTCCTTGGGATTTTTTTTTTTTTAATGCTGAGAAGTTTTATTGAGTGTCTGTAGACACTTACAGAAACTCACTGCTGGGCTTCTCCTATTTGCCTTCCATTCACCACTTAGCAACAGCCAGCAAGGTTGAGACTGCAGTTCTTGAACTGAAAAGCTTCCTGCTATATGCTTGTAGGGAGCCGGCAGCCTTTTTTGGGCACAGATGCTGAGTCAGGTGTGGAAATGCATTCATATCCTACTATTTAATGCAATTGCACAAGGGAATTAGTTGGGGAGTTCACATGAAGCTTCCCGTAATTTAGGAAAACCCTCAATGCCATGAATGTGAGAAAAAGCAATTTCTTTTTCTTTACACCAGTAGTAGGATTGCCTGAATAAGGATTTCCAGATTTTTTCCCACCAGTATCTTGAATAACATTGGGCTCCCTTTTTCTCCTCAGAGGACGCAAACCCTTTGGAGATATAGGTTAACAAACATCCTCCTCTTCAGCCTTCCCGCATTCCTCCCACTTCCAAATTTTCCAAAGTATTGTGTTGTGTGACCATGACCCATGGGCACTGATGTGAGGGTCCCCCCCTTGTTCCTCCTCACGCCTGCCTTGTGGGAATGTGAACTTTGCGAAATGATGGCAAACACTGCCTCGTTTGGCAAGGGATGTTTTTACATTGTGAGGAAAGGAAGAGCAGAGAGGAAACCTTCTTATCCCTCTTCTTGTTTGGAAACTTGCATATGACATCTGTGTTTTGCAAGCAAAGTTGGGCCCAAATTTGCTCAGCAGAAATGTGGGAGCAGTTGGAGGAAGAACAGAGTTCCCTTCTCCCAAAGCATCATGTAATGTGGAAAGTCTCTGGTCTTTGGGAAGGATGGTCCTGAGAGCAGGGCTGCCAGGCTTCTGGCTGGGAATACATTGCACTGAGTGGATGAGGATTCCTTGAAATCAACCCAAAAAGTCAGGGGTGGGAGTGGGTATTTGTGAATAAACTGGGAGTTCAGTGGCAAGTGGCCTCTTTTCCATCATATCTCTGGGTTCCCAGAGCTCCTCTCTGTGCCTGTGGAGAACCTTGGCTGCCCAGCTTGCTTTGAGGGTAGGGCACACACTCCATCACCCACCCACAGGGCTATCTTACTCTCAGAGATGAGGTTTAGCACTTCAGTTCATGAGCTGGAGCCTGTGTGTAAGCAGCAGCTCCTTCAGTCTTACGGTCATTTCCAAATTGGGCCAGCTCAGCTGCTTCCTGGTGGGATTTGGGATTTTCTTCACTGTAGCTCCTGCCAGATGCGGGTGAGCCAATCTGCCCAGCACACTGAGTCCATCTCTGTCTCCTCCAGTGCTTGCATTCAGCTCTGCCGCTGTTAGCAGTGGATTTGGAAAGGGGACATTTGTCCTTGTGCATTGGACAGGGAGACCAGGCTGGCTTTGGGCATTGGACAGGGAGAAGCCAATGGCCCCAGGGACTGTCCCACACAGCAGCATCCTGGGACTGAGCAGCACTGGACCAGAAATAGTTATGCAATGCGGAAAGGAAGGGAAAGCAAGTTCCCATTGCACCCAAGGAGTGGAGCAGGTAGGACAATGTTTGGAGTGGTTGTACAACTCTGGCACTTCCTGTTTTCCTGCAGGCAGGAGCTGTGATTGTCACTTCTTATTCAGCTCCTCATCCTGGGAGGAAGACAGCATCAGGCTGTCCAGGGGCAGCAGGATGTTTATGTGGCAGGCTGAGTCAAGGTGCTGCTTTTAATACACCCCAGAGCAGAGTCATTGGGGGAAATGTACATTTTAGATTTCTTTTTTGTTTTAAGGCTCATGAACATCCGAAGTGCTTTGCAATTGCCATCGAGCTGTGTGGCCGAATGCCAGCTGAGTGTCATTGTTTTCTAAGGCTATTACACAAGGATTTTACAGAGTGCCATGAACTACTGGTAATTTAGGTAGGATTTGTCTAATTAGTGATGCTACATTGAGAGGCTTTGCTTAATTACTCCATAAGCTGTCAAACTTTGCATTGTCTCAGCCAGGCCCACATCAACCAGAGCACCTAACAGTGGTGGGGAGAGGATGAGGCAGCCATGCAGCCTCTGCCATGTACCCATCCAGAGGAGCCTTCTCTCCCTGCTTTATTAAGGATAATGGCATTTCCCTGAAAGGGAGAACCAAGGGACTCAATGAGACTCAACATTTAAAAAAATATGGGTTTTTCAGCCATTATCTCTCTGCAGTAGCAGATAGGAATCCCATGGGAAAAAATAGCCTGTGTCTGGATCTATGTATGCAGGGGAAGAATGTTCATGGGACTAGTGGCCATGACATCCATCCCATCACCTGCCAT